GGCACACACCACAACCAGCCAGCTTTTACCTGGGTGCTAGGGACCCAAACTCAAACCCTCATGAGCTGAACCACCTCAGAGCCCCTTGCTTTTCTGTTTTTTGAGAATCGTCTCCCTATATCACTCAGACTGGCCTTGACTTTTCAGTCTTGCTGACACAGCCTCCCAAGAGCTGAACTGTTAGCTATATGCCACCATGTCTACCTGGATAGGTCTTCGATTTTCATTAGTCAACTTTGGATCACAAGAAAGAACTTTCTGCCAGGCAGTGGTGGTGCACACCTTTGGTCCCAGCATTAGGGAGGCAGAGGCAGGAGGATCTCTGAGAGTTCAAGGCCAGCCTGGTCTACAGAGTGAGTTCCAGGACAACCAGGGCTACACAGAGAAACCCTGCCTTGAAAAACCAAAATAGAAAAGAAAAAAGCAAGAGCTTTCCTTTGTTCCTTTTTTTCTAGCCCAGGCTATCCTCCAGCTCACTATATAGCCAAGGAAGACCATAAACTCCCTGACTGTCCTGCCTTCCACTGCCAAGTACATTACAGGCATGAACCAACTCACCCAGTTTTATGAAGTGTTGGGGTTCAAAGACAAGACTCCCTGAATTCGAAGACATGTAGTGATACCTTATTTATGACTTACTAGACATGTAGTGATACCTTATTTATGACTTACTAAAGCTTGACTGAGGATTCAGAAAGCAAAGTCAGCCTCAGGCTATAAATATCAGGCAGTGGTGACACACACCTTTAATCCCAGAAGCCAGAAACTAAGAGGAGGTGGTACATACCTTTAATCCTAGGACTCAGGATTAAGAGATAGACAGATCTCTGTGAGTCCAAGGCCACCCAGATCTACACAAGAGTGAACCAATGTAAAAGAGAATTACAGCTCACACCTTTAATCCCAACAGTAGGGAAGTATATAAAACAGGAGCAAAGTCTCAAAGAGGCATTTGTTCTCTTGCCACACTGAGGAGACGCAGCAGTTTGAGACTTGGTGAAGAGCTCCTGTGTGTGAACAGCCCTTTCAGCCTCAGCTACAGGTGAGAGCCAGTGGCCGGCTTTGCTTTTCCGATATTCTGCTTGAAGCTTGAACCCCAATATCAGTCTCTGGGTCATTTATTTCTATCAAGTCACTCCCCCCAGCCAATTTTCATTTCTTTTTATTTATTGGGTTTGTTTTTTGTTTTTTGTTTTTTTGAGACAGGGTCTTAAGTAACCCAAATTGGCCTTGAATGTTTGATCCACCTCACTGGGTCATACCACTCCCAATGTCCTTATCTGTTACTATGATAAAACATTGACCAAGAGAAACTTGAGGGAGAAAAGGATTTATTTGTCTCATGCTTCCATGTTATCACCTGACATTGAGAGGAGCCAAGGCAGGAACGTGGAGACAGGAACTGACGCAGAGGCCATGATGCTCACTGGCCCTTGCTCTCCGTGGCTTGCTCAGCTATCTTTCTTATACAGCTCAGGTCCACCTGCCTAGGGATGCCCCTGCCCACTGTGGGCTGGACCCTCTCATGTCAATCAGTAATCAAGAAAATATCCCATAGACATTCTTACAGGCCAGTGTGACAGAGGCCGCCCCTCAACTGAAATTGCAACTTCTCAGATCCATCTAGGTTGACACAAACTACGACATCCATCTTAGTGTTTATGTATTCATACCAGTGATGACTCGTATTTCCCAATATGGGCTCTTATGACTTTCAATACAAGCCTGCGTTTCTTCCATATGGATTACTTTTTGGTTTACTTATTGTTTATTTGGCGGGTTATAGTTCTTTATTTAATTCCACTTTGGTCGCAGGGAGCCTGTCTAAGGCACTCTCCTTTGTCTTCCGTCACCTTCTCCTTCTTTCTTTGAGTATTCTCCAGTCTTCTCTCTGAGTGTGCAGGTACACACTCTCTCTCTCACCTGCCCCCCTCAGGTACCGCCCACCTTCATTACTTAAGATTTTGTTGGGAGCCGTGCAGCCCAGTTTTGAACCAGTATATGAGTGCTTGTCCAACGGGTCTCCAGATGAGGCAAAAGTCCACAGGGACAGTATCACTTGGCAAGAACCAGGGGACATCGGGACAGCACAGAATATTGCTGGGGCCACGCCACCTGCATGCTCTCTTCTCTCTCAGAGTATTGATGGTTCTCTTGACAGTTTTAGTGTCATTTTGTCAGCCATGCATGGGACAGACGTGGTCATTCATGGAAAACCCAACTTTTCTTGAATATTTTCCCCTAAAATTCTTTGGAGCTGATACTTCTCGGGTTTCTTGTCCAGGGATGCCAGCTGTCACCCCAGACCCTGGGAGCTGTTCTCATTCAGTGCTGACAGTATGGAGGCAGATCACCCCATTTCTTCTTTTTTTTTTTCTTTTTTTTCTTTTTATTATTATTATTATTAATTCAAGTTAGGGATCAGGCTTGTTTCACATGTAAGTACATTCTCCCTCTCTCTCTCCTCGCACC